ACCCACAAAAAAACTATGGATGCCGGCCATGAAAGCCTACGACTGCACTATTTCTGTTTTGCAGATGAGGCTTACATTTTGAAAGAGGAGAGAGGGAGGAAAAGAGGGAGGAAGAAACAAGCAAGCAAGCAAGCAGGGGAATAGCTGGGAAGACAAAATGGAAGTTTTGCCCTTCCAAACAAAGTATATGCCCTCCTGAATGATTTTACGTTCAGTCCCCAGATTTCTAATATTGCAGTAAACTAAAGTTCAATTAAACATTTAGAAACACTCCATGTATGTGTTCTCTCCATGCATCTGAGGAAATACACAAAGGGTCTCTACAGATGACCCTTTGCGCCGTCTTGGAGGCAGGGAAAAGGAGCAGCCGCACATCGGCCGCCCCAACCCCTCCCCGAGGACGTTCTGAAGGTGTGTGCCGTTACGCACGACACGCGTTGTCAAAACGTTCTCCCAGCGCAGTGTCTTGACGCACTGTGCCGAAGGGATGTAGAAGAGCTGTGAGGCGGCTCTTGGGGTGCTCTATTTGCCAGCTCTGAAAGGAACGGCATTTTGCCGCTCTTTTCCGGGCCAGCAATGTGAGAATCGGGGCCGCTGCATGTGGTAGCAACAGCCCTGATCCTCTGCTTTCCGGGGCGGCCCAGGGCTGCCTGTCTGCATTCCCCTTAAGTCTTATGAAAACTAATGCTATAACTGCTTTCATTCAGTTAGTCTCAAAGATCCCTTTGAATTTAGAAACACTGCACCAAAGAAAAGGTGCAAGCAAAATTCCCAAGTAAAGGAGAACACAGCAAATGTAGGCATTTTAGGAGTGAATGCTTTTCAACACCTCAGGCTCTGCAATGCTAAAATTTGGGGGCTGCAGGAAAATTTAATGGAAGGAACACAATTCTTATTTGGAGGGGGTGGTAATTCCCTCATTCTGCCCCCTCCCCGCTGCACCTCTGGAGGTATACGTGATTGAAAGAGATTTTTAAAAAGTTAAGCTATCCAGTTTTGAGCCTACTGCTTTGGTAGGGATTCCAATCATCCCGGAAAGCCAGGAAAATCCCAAATTGAGGGAAGTAAAAAAATGTTGTGGCTGGTTTACCCAGCAGCTCCCAGATTCCTCTTTCCTGCAATGATGCACACGTATTTCAAACTGCAAATATGCAAAACAATCTTAGAAACATTGGCTCTCTCTCTTTCTCTCTCTCTTTAATTAAACTCAATGCAAGTAGAGGCTGAAACTGAGTAACAGTTTACCTTTCCACTGCATGGGATAAGCCTTAATTTTCAGGAAATGTGCTGGAGTAAAAGACCCATGTAATCTGACCTATATATAATAGATTAACTCTATATAATAGATTCTCTCATCCATTAGGGTAATTCTTGACAGCCAGTACAACATAGCCAATGTAGGTTGCACTGAATTTTACAAACTGACTTGCAGCAGGGGGTGGGTGGGGAACACCAAAGCACCTTGACCAAATACATTTTTCTGAAAAGTACAATTGGTACAAGAATCTTTACACTACTGAAATATGCAATCAAACAATGCTAAATGTCAAAATTTGTTGGTTTTTGTGTGTATGGAGGGGGGGTTGTTGATAATCTGCCCAATACAATCCTACATGTTTTTGTGACAGTTTTGTGCAAAAGAATTACAGTGGGCCCTTGGTATCTGCTGGGATTAGGTTCCAGGACCAGTTATGACCCCATGAATACCAAAATCTGTGGCACAAGTTTCATTAAATATAATGGCATAGTAAAATGGTGTCTCTTATACAATATGGCAAAATCAAAGTTTGATTTTTGGAATTTATATTGTTTTGAATATTTTCAAGCTGTGGATGGCTGAATCCATAGATAATGAATCTGTGGATATAGAGGACCGACTTTATTATAACCCCACCCTTTTGCCACTGGCAAACTGCTCCCAACAGGTTACTTCCAAAGAGGAAGAAGAAAGTTCACCAGCATTAGAGAAGGCAAAAGTGGAGTGGCTAAGTGATTCCCAGCCTCCAGTCCTCCAGTTGTTCTGGGTTTTAAATATCAGAAGCCTGAGCCAGCCACAGTATGGATGGCCAATTATCAGAGATTCTTTTGCCCATCATTCTGGAGGGCAAAAAAACTGAGAGAACCACTGGACTGAATAGAGAGTCTGAGCTGATGCAGGGCTACTGCTTACGTACCCTTCACCCTCCAAGACCTCCAGAATGAAGTCCTCCATGACAATGTCCCTTACCCGAGAACCTACCTGGGAGTATCTCTCCATCCTCGGAGATTTGGAAGAATACTATTTCCTCTTGTCCCATATTAGGAAAGTCTTCTAGTTTGGGAATCAGACAATCTCCTTAGGAACAGAGAGAGAAATGAGACATTGGCAGAAAAGAATTGTGTCTCTTATGCTGGCAGAGAGGACAAAGATGAAGTATGGATTCAGGAGGGGGGGAATAAGCTTTTGAAGGAAGTAACATACTGAAGTCTTTTACTCCAAGTCTAGTTTCAAGTTGGTACCTTCAAATCTCTAGTCAAATTTCATGTCCTTGCAAGATACTTTCAAGTCAAGTCTCAAGTTTGGGAGCCAACTTGAACAGAAAAAAAGGAGATGGTGGTGGGGTGAGGAGAGTGGAGTGGAGTTGCATTTCAGTAACTACAAAATTAAGAAGATGTGCACAAAGTTAGGTAAAGTAATTATTACAGGGGAAAAGCAAATATATTAGGCAATGGAGTTGAGGCAGAAGGATTCTTCTAAAGCTTTTGAAAAGCTTTAGAAGACTCCTCCAATGTGCATTGGGGACAGGCTGCTGAGTAAACTTCAATCCGCCTCAAGCCCATTGCCTAACATGTTTCCTGTTAGACCAGCAAGTCAGTCACTAAAAATATAAAAATATACAAGTTGCGAGTCAAATCAGTGCTTCATTTATGGCCAAGTGGAGTCCAAGTTGAAGCACTGAAGGGACCTGAGTCCAACTTGCGTCTGAGTCAATTGACTCAAGTCTACATCACTGGCAGGAGGTGGGGGAAGGTTGTAAGCCCATGCTCGAGTTATTTACCTGAAAAATCAACTGGCCTGTATTCATCATCAAGAACTTCCCAGTACATGGGACTCTGAGTGGGATTCACTATAGGTCTTCCTTCCCCAGGCAAAGCCTTCAAGTCCATGGCAGCCTAAAACAGGAAAGCACCACAAACTCAGCATCAAATAGTCATAGAGCCAGATGTGCCTTTGCAGGTCTTATAAAACCGTTTGCTCAGTGGAGGAAATTACACATGAGGGTATCCTAGCCGGATGGTTGCTCGGCTACCCCCTAGGTAACTGGAGCCATTGTCAAATTGCCCTCACCCTCAAGAAGTTCCTCCTACAAACATTCACTGATATAGGAGCTAAAGCCCATTAGAACTAATCTTGGTCTCAGTGGCATCACTGAGATTGGTGTCCCTGGTGTGGAGGGGGTGACCTTGGAAAAGTTACATTTTGGACTAAATCACCCAGAATGGATTTATAGTCTGGGTATTGTTGTCTGAAAAAAGCAATTCTTCCAAGTTCTGCTATGAATACATTTCTTTTTAAGGTGCTGAGCACAGAACTGGACTTGGAACTCCAGACAAAGTCTGATCTTGTTGATTATGTGTTGCCCAGTTGTTTTCAGTTGCAAGTAGATTTATGTAGGGGACTGTCTAGAAGTGTGAGTCTGCTCTGGAGGGCAAGAAGTCTGGGATTTAAATCCTGTAAAAGCCCTTGAGCCAGTTTGGCGTAGTGGTTTAAGAATTGGACTGCTACTCCAGAGATCAGGGTTCGATTCCCAGAATCAGCCATGAAACCTACTGAGTGATCTTGGGTAGGTTACATGCTCACAGTTTCAGGGGAAAACTGGTGTAACCAATGCACAACATGCCTTAAAATATACAGGCCAATATTAACCTGTTACTCCCAGTTAAGGTAGACCAATTCAAGCAATGTGAACTTGATAAACCTACACTTATCGAAATCCAATTGATTAAAAAGGTCTACTGTAGTTGAGACTAAGGAGTTTATCACACAGGGCAAACTGCAAAAATCCCACACAAAAACGGGATTTAAAACCCGGAAAAAAACCAGAAAATGACAGCAACATTAACCCAAACAGAAAGTAAGACAAAAGTAATGCAACATTAACCCAAACAGAAAGTAGACAAAACCTGCCCCTTTTTACTTTTGGGATTTATCCAAAAGTAAAAAGGAGCAGGTTTTGTCTAGGTTTGGATTAATGTCGCATTAATTCTCATTAATGCTAACATTGTCTGAGAAACAAACTTGCTTTGGTGGGTTTTTTCTACTTTCTGTTCGGGTTAACCTCGAACATAGTCTGAAAAACTACCTGCTTTTGTGGGTTTTTATCAGTTTAAATCCAGTTTTTGTACGGGATCCGTCCTGTTGATAAACTCCTCAGTGGATATAGGCTGCAAGATCCAAACTTTCTGGAGGAACAGGTGTAAATGTAGTTTGGGTCCTGAGTATTTTCTGTCATGATTAATAAAATGAGCAAAGCTAGCAAATGATGGGATACCTCAGTCAGGGCACCTTCAGCCTTTTGTCCTCCACTGTTGGAACAAGTGGCATTGGAGAGATGTGGCGTTGTTCTTCTGCTGGCTGTGAGACACAAGAAAAGGAGAGTTTTTTTTAGTAACAACATTGTATACGTATTTGTTTATTTCAACTATAAACATCCCTCCACATTCGCTGGGGTTAAGGGCACAGAACCCCTGTGAATGTGGAAAAATCACAAATAACAAAAACATTACATTTTTACCTGAGAGAACACCTCTCTAGGAAATCTCTAGGTCCTCCAGCGCAACTCTGTGGTCAACATCTGCCAGACATTGACCCTAGAATTGCGCTGGAGGAGCTACAAATGCCTAGTGGAATGTTCTCTCTAGGAATCTCTAGGTCCTTCAGTGCCACTTTTGGTCAAAGCTGACCATAGAGTTGTGCTGGAGGACTTAAGATATTCCTAGAGAGAACATATTAATAAAACCCATGAATAATCAAATCCACAAAAGTCAAAGCCACAAATGTGGAGGGATGAGTGTACTGCTTTCCCACTATTTTCTAAAGACAAAATCCTGACAGCTTACAAACACTAAAAATCCTTTCCACACACACCTGTCCACAAAATATTAGAATTATATTTATTTTTATATTAGCCACGTATAAATATTTCTATGATCAAGATAGGGTTAGGCACCAAGTTTACCAGTGTCAGTATCAAAGAACAAGTGAGGACGAAAAAGCAAAACAGGTGACAGGACTAGAGTTGCCAGAATGGAAACTCGAGACCTGATTGCTTTTAAAAGTAAAACCTGCTAAAATCTCCTCTTTTACATAACCATTAAAGGCACAGAAGCCCTTCTACAGTTTCTGGTCTGACAACCCTAGATAGTACTATAAGGGATGGGACCGCTGCATTTTCAGGTAGTTTTAGAATGGAGCAGCACTTCTGCATCTGAGAAATCTGCCCGTCTCTTGTGATGGCTCCTGGAATAGCAAAAGAGATTTCATTTCCGTAGTTTAGGGTCAAAAAAAAAGTCACTTGAAAGTTGACCCCAAAACTGAAAGAAATAGAGGATCTGGGAGCGTTTTCATCATACACAGGAGTCCCAAGGGCCTGCCCCTGACTTATATCATATTACTGAAAAAATAGTTTTTTGGGATTGGCAATGCTTTCAACATTGTATATTCATTTTGATAGAACCTAGGCACCTTATGGAGAATTCTAGGACATTTTCCAGGGCACCAGTTAGACTGCACTGCTATGAACTGACAATGCAGCCCAGACAACCCCAACACTGTCACATAACCCTGCGGGAGAAGACTAGTAGTGGATGGCTGTTTTTCTGCCAGTGCTTAGAGGATCCACCAGTAAGATTATCTTCCCCAGAACACAGTTCCAAAATCATATAATAATGTGTCACTGGTTTAATTCATATCTCACATCAAACCATGGCTAAGGATGCTAAACTATGGTTTGACATGGCACCCAAATTGAAACTCCTGGTCTGTGATCAGCTTGCAAACCAGAAGGAGAAACCATATTTTGAAATGGGGTTGTAAATCACGATTTGCTTCACGCTTTGGCATAAATGTGAGTTAGCAGCAAGTAGTCTGCCTGTAAAGACCAAGGTGCATAAAAAGAGGAAGACTGAGAAGCCTGGAAATAAAAGCAGACAAGCCTTAGTTTGCTTGTATATTTGGAAGCCACAGCCATTATTCTGGCTGTAGGCAATGATGTCCTACATAAGTCCTGCTCCTGTATGAAATTTTGAGTATAACTACTGAATCCTTACATAACAAAGTCATAACATCACCCTTTTGCTTGGCTTCTTGGCAGATCTCCCTCTGAGTGGAATGGACAGGAACTTCGACATCTGAGAATCCCTGGCCCATCTCCTGCAATGGCTCCTGACATAGCAAAGGAGATTCAATCTGAAGGAGGAAAGAGCATATATATTATGCATTTGGATGCCTACATTCTCTGTCTAAACCAGGGGTAGGCAACCTTTTTGAGCCGGGGGCCAGGTTGCTGTCCCTCAGACAACTGGGGGGCCGAAGCACCATAAATAAATAAATAAATAAATAAAATTTAAAAAATTATATATATATATATATATATATATATATATATATATATATATATATATATATATATATATATATGCATGCACTCTCTCTCAGCCCCAGAAAAGCCATGGCAAAACCCCTGTGGAGATTTTGCCAAGAACAAGTAATAACAACAATCAATATCATCATGGCGGGTAGCGGCGGCGGGAGGCAGCGGCAGCAGGACCTGCCTGGGGCTGGTCCAAAGGCCTTGGGGAGTCGCATCCGGCCCCCCGAGGCCTTAAGTTGCCTACCCCTGGTCTAAACTAAAGCGTATCCCCCACTTGTCCTGATTTGGCAGGGACAATCCCAATTAATCCTCTATCATTCCACTTTTTCAGCTATTTTTAAAATGTTCCAGTTTCTCTCTCCTCCTACTTCCCCCACTTGTCCTCAGCTTACATCCATTACTTCAAGCTGTTCAAAGTGCAAAACTAGGGGTGCATCTACACTGTAAAAATAATGCTGTTTGACACCACTTTAAGTGTTGTTGCTCCATCCTATGGGATCCTAAGAGTTGCAGTTTTACATGACCTAAAGACCATCTCTGCCAATGAGTTCTGGTGCCTCACAAAACTACTAAGGTACAAGAATCCCAGGATTCTGTAGGATGGCACCATGGCAGGTAAATTGGTGTCAAAATGCATTAATTCTGCAGTGTAGATGCACCCTTGTTTGCCCTTAATTAACTCAGCAGCAGGGAAGGAAGAGGAGGGGGCAGAGTCCTGTCCTTCCCTATAGATTCAGGACAAGTTGCTGCAGTCTCTTTACTTCATCTCTTCTTTCTCATTAATAACCTTTCCCTCTTGACCACTCTCTAATGTTCCTTGGCCACACATTTTCCAGTTTTTCATCCTTGGTCCAAAAAAAACACTGTAGAAATCATTCAGTTTGAGATCACTTGCCAAGAAAACCCCATTATAAGTTTGTTGTTGTTGTTGTATGCCTTCAAATCGTTATGGCAACCCTAAAATGAACCTATAATTGGTTCTTCTTGGCAAGATTTGTTCAGAGGAGGTTTGCCACTGCCTTCCCCTGAGGCTGAGAGAGTGTGACTTGCCCAAGGTCACCCAGTGAGTTTCATGGCCAAGCTGAGAATCGAACCCTGGTCTGGAGAGTCGCAGTCCAACAAACCACTATGCCATATTGGCTTAGGGTTGCCGTATGATGGAAACAACTTGAAGGCATACAACAAGGACAAGGATAACAAAGGCATAACAACAAGAGAGGCCCTTTTTATTGCATTATTAAACAAACCTGACCGGCAAATTAAAATATCTGAGGGGTTTTCTCCTCCCTCCGCATGACTCCCATTCTCTTCAGGTTGTAAAAGCATGGAAGAGCGTTGTAAAAGTGTCATTTTTGCCAAACGGATTATTTCAGCTTGGCAAATGGGACACTTTTATGACCATCTCCCATGGTTTTACAACTGGAAGAGAACAAAAGAACTACATCATGCGGAGGGAGAAAAAAATACATCTTTTTGTTTGCCTACCTGAGGTTTGTTTAATAATGCACTAAGGCTCCAAATCAGTTTGCAACTACCCTCAATGCAGATCTCAAGGCACTTAAATATTTATGTCAGGGGTAGTCAACCTAAGGCCTGGAGGCCGGATGCGGCCCCCTGAGGCCTTTGGACCGGCCCCAGGCCGGTCCCGTCACAGCGGCCGCCGCCGCCCACCGCCACCCGCCATGATGATATTGATTATTGTTATTACTTGTTCTTGGTTTTTTCTTGGCAAAATCTCCACAAGGGTTTTGCCATGGCTTTTCTGGGGCTGAGAGAGTGTGCATGCATATTTTTTTTAATTATTTTTTTTAATTTTTAATTTTATTTGTTTATTTATTTATTTATTTTTGGTGCTTTGCCCCCCAATTGTCTGAGGGACAGCAACCCGGCCCCTGGCTCAAAAAGGTTGCCTACCCCTGATTTAAGTGATTACCACCTCACCTTTACTTTCCATGAAGTGGCTTCTTGATGGCTGCTCAGGAAGTCCTCCGCCAAGACCACGGCCTGGATGCAGTCTTCAGGTCCACCTTCCTCAATCCAGTTCTGGATCTCCTGCGGCAGGATGGCCAGGAACTGCTCCAGAACCACCAGATCTAGGATCTGCTCCTTGGTGTATCGCTCTGGCTTCAGCCACTGGCGGCAAAGCTCCTGGAGTTGGCTATAAACCTTTTGCGGGTCTTCCACCATCTCGTAACGGAACTGCCTGAAGCGTTGGCGCCGTGCTTCCATTTTGATAGCCTCCTCGTGCAAGATGGCGGCCTTCACCTTCCCATAGTCCATCCTTTCTCCATCTTCTAGCTTCCTAAAGGCTTTCTCAGCTTCTCCGCTAAGGGACGGCAAGAGCCGGGACACCCACTCTTCCCTTGGCCATTGGCAACCTTCAGCAATTTTCTCAAAAGAAGTCAGAAATGCTTTGGGATCTTCCCAGGGTTCAGATGGCTCCGGCTTTTCCCAGGTTAGGGGATGGAACTGGGAGGCCTTCAGGAAATCAACCCATTGGCCCAGCCATTTCTGTGGTGGCTGCAGCCATGTTGGTTGGTTCGTAGTATGAGGCGTCTCCCATTTTGGAAATTCTTCAAAGCACAACACCTGGGAAGCACCTGGAATTTGCTCCCTACCTTCTGCTCTGACTGCCATTTTGGTCCCCTAGTTTTTCCCTCTTCCTTTCTCAACAATCCTGCTGGAATCCTCTTCTTAATCTCAGTTTGTAGTTTCTGGGCCTGGACCTGGAATTCTCTTCTTAATCTCAGTATGTAGTTTCTGAATA